ATTGGCCAGCTATCCAGTGCGTTGTGATTGGCCGAATACCTCAAGCGTGTGACGGAAATGTTAAGCCCCTTACCATATTGCGATGCCGTGTCCAGGAGCGTCGAGACAAAACCAATAAAACCCATTATAAACGAGGCATTTGTTGCATCCAGTGGGCCAGCAGAAAAAAAGTCTGTGACTTTGCATCCAGTGGGGACATAATTACAGATTATAATGACTTATACTGTCTTTATACGCGTTGCGTTGCGTGAACATAACCAGTCGGACAAAAAATCTTTGGGTTTGAGACTTTAGTCTTTGCAACTTTAGGGATCTTATCTATTCACAAACAGCTTGTAACACTCCAAAGAGAAAGGAAAACTTGAAATCACATCATATGACCCCTTTAAATGCTTTATTAAAACAAGCTTGTTTTAAAAGTTTGAATTATAAATGGTTGCTATTTAATGCTACATATTGCCTATATAAATAATAGTTTGATACTTTAAAAAGTATGTGAAGGTACTATAAAATATAAGTAAATTGCCCATATGACTTGCCCTCTATATTCCAAGTCTTCTGAAGAATCTGCGATAGCTTCTGATTCATGAGCGAATCATTCTGACTGGTTTTGTGACCCAAATAAACGGATTTATTGAAAAGATCCAATTCAAAAGAATGATTTGTTCATGAATCAGACATTTTTCTCATAAATGGGTTTGGATTATCATGACCATTTTGAGTAAATAATGATAGAATTCTTGAATGAACTGTTCCTTTAAAAGTGATGTTAGAGATTGTGTATTTATATATTGCTTTATTTTGAATATTGTGCTGTACTTTAAATTGTACACCTGTTGTAAATTGCTCTAATTGTATAACTCACCATATTTTTGATGATTTAAAAAATACAGCGTAATTGTTCTGAATATTTGCTGAGGTCCTTCTGAATTTTAATTTAGGAGCTTTTCAGACCCACTGGCAAGTGCCTGTCAATGCCAGAAATGGGGAGAACAAGACAGGCAATGTGCGCTATAGAGGAACTGGAGATTTTTGCAAGTGAACCAACTCTTATCAACATTACAGCTATTAATGCTCTGGGTAGCACAACAGGCATATGGCCAATTATTTTTCAACAGATTGGTGAGATTTCATAGTCCTCTTCTACCGTTTCATTTATTCCACTGGTTTGTCTTTATTTATTATTTTTTTAATGTTATAATATTATAATAAAACTTAATCATGTAATGAATATAAAAAATTCTGACATTCTAAATCAATTATTTTTCAACAGATTGGTGAGATTTCATAGTCCTCTTCTACCGTTTCATTTATTCCACTGGTTTGTCTTTATTTATTATTTTTTTTATGTTATAATATTATAATAAAACTTAATCATGTAATGAATATAAAAAATGCTGACATTCTAAATAGTAATGATAAATAAATCAAATATTTACATCCAAAAATATCAGTTTAAGCTTTGGCTGGTCTATGTCAGAAAACCTTACTGCTGTGTGATGAAACAGCTGCTTTTGCAGTATTTGAAAGATTTGATCAGTGTTTACATCTTGATGCATATGCCATGAGCTCATATTGAGTGTTTAAATTCTTGTCCTTTGTTGGCCTGTCGTGAAACCTGATCCTCCGGTGAATGTGAGCGTGATGGTAATGCCAGGCAGGAAGCTGTCTGTGCAGTGGGGTCCACCACCCACTTGGCCGGATCCTGTCAAATTTCTCCTTAAATACACAGTGAAATTCCACTGGGGCAAACATGAGACAGCAAGAACTGTGAGTTTCCAGTGTAGACCATGTTCAACTGTGTTAAAAGCAACTACATTCCTAGCAGTAAAATACTGAAACAAAAGGCACCAAACAGAACTATTTGAAAAGTCACGTCATGCTAAAGGAAGGACATACTGTATGAAGGTCATTTAATTATTTAACATTCTTTGTTTTCTAGCTGGGCCCTTACGAGTCTAATAAACTGGTTTTGAGTGGACTGGTGGCAGGAAGGACTTACTACATCCAAATATCTGCAAAGGACTCCCTGGATGATGGACAGAGCAGTGAGTGGAGTGCACCGATAAGTGCCACCTAACTGATGTGGTGAATCATTACATTACACTACGTTAACCAGAAGTGTTAGAATTGCAGTGTTTATTATGTCACCAAATGATAACTTTGTTTATAAAGGCAATGATGACAGGCTCAATGTGCAAGCTCAAAGCTCTATGCAAGCTCAATGTGCAGAATCTTCTAAATTCAAAAAATAATAAACACCCAGCATGGCTCCATGTAATCACAAAGTTTGTGAGCATGTTAAAAAATGTTCTTATCTAATCTTTATTATCTAACTGATTTTAACTGGTTTGTGAAATAAATAAATAATAAATATCATAAATAAAAATAAATAAAAATCACAGATTTTCAGGCAGCCCAAGAAATAATGTAACAAAGTACCAAAGCTGTACAGAAAAGTTTATTATTCTGGTCTCCTTAGAAAATCACTTGAAATTTTAATAAAAAAGTTTTTTTTTAAAGAGGTATGCTGGTGCTTTTTTTTAAATTATATTATAAACAGATTTTTTTGTAAGATTATTTATATGCTATTATATAATTTAATAATATTTTAAATTAGCTCTAGCTTCTATATTTTCAGTTTTCATTTAAATTTTAGCTTAGGTTTAAGTAAGTTTGTTACGTACTTTGGTCATTTTTTAATTAGTTTTTTGTTTTGTTTTGTTATTTTTTATTTAAGTTTTAGCTATTTTAGTGCTTAAACATATTTCATTTAAGTTTAAGGTTATTTGTCTAATATTTATACTTTATTTTATTTATTTATTTATTTAATTAATTTTATTAATATGATTTATATCGTTTTATGATTTAATAATTTGAATGATTTAAAAGTTTTTGTTTTTGTAATATTTCTCTTTAGCTTTAATTTATTTTTAAGCTTTGTAATTTTATGAATTTAACTTAATGTATTTATTTCTGTTAACTTCAACTTGTTTCAGTTAGTTGCCAAGGCAACATTTATAATTTTCGTTCAATTTAAAGTTAGGGTCTTTCATTTTATATTTATATTTTATTCGATTTTTATTTCAGCTTTATTTCATTTAACAATTTTAAAATGTTCAATTAAAAAAAAATTTGTTAAAAGTATAACCATGTTTATAAACCCATTCAGAAAAGAATTAAAGAAATAATTCAAACAAAAATTAAAGATCAAACCTTTAATTTTGTGGGTGAACTATCCCTTTTTTTAAAAAAAAAAGGGATGTTAATGAATGTGAAAAAGTTTCAACATCGCTTTGCACAAAACCAGATGTCAGGTAAGGAAAATTGTAACTCTTCCTATACCTTTATTTTTCCCTTAACCAATCCTTTTTTGTAGGTGCCCACAAAACACTGCATGAAACCCTTCAGTCTAATACGTCAACAATCAGTGGTGTTACAAACTCTGAGTGACGAACACCCATGGAGAAAGACGGTGCACGATGCAGGTGTGCCGTCACCTTTTCTGGGCTGTGTGTGCCTGGGCCAGGCTTCGAAGTGGCATCGGTGGGAATATTAGAACGGCTTTGCATGGAGAAAGAAGGCTGTCTGTTCAGGTAAATGCTCGGATCTGTTCTGTTGTAACGGCTGGGCCCTGGGGTCATGGACAGGTCCTCTGATGGGCCGCCTGCTTTCCTGCGTGCTGACATGGTGAAGCTGGCGCTGGAGGGTTTGTGGGGAACGTGAGAGCTGAAGAGGTTGGGTAAGGTGTAGCGGTTGGGGGGCGGTACAGGATCCACAATGCGGTAACGTGTACGGAAGGCCATGGTGTAAGACGGAGGTCTGTGGTGAAGGTTCAAAGGTGGAGCTTTCTCAGGACTGTAAGCTCCAGGTCCAGGAGTCTGGAATGTATCAGCTGATCAGAAACAGAGAATCAGCAACTTATTATGCACCCCCTCTTAAAAGTTAAAGTGAATATGACATAAAATGATGCTATTTACTTTCTGAATACACATTACCATTCATATTGTGCATGATTCATCCAAAAAGTGCATGTGCATGTTATTCCAAAAAGAAAAAACTAAACTATTTTTCAGATGATACCAATTTCTCTCAGTGAACCCTTACATTCTGGCAATGCCCATTTCATTATACAACCAATCCCAGATGGATAAAATTTAAGCCCCACCCTATTTTTTTCTTATAGAGTGAATCAGTGCCCACCTACTTTTTCAGCAGCCTTAAGTATTTTTTTCCATTCATTTTTCCCCAAAAATACAAACATATTTGAATATCAGACAAAAAGACAAAGGTACAGGATTGTGTACTTAACAGCTTTACTGAGGGAAAGAACTACAATCCCATGATGCAGCATAGCGAAAGACATAATCAAAATAAAAACAATAGATGAATATAAAACTACTGATTTAAAGATATTAATTATGTTTATAAAAACAATTTGTTTATTGCAAAAAATGCATATACTGAATATGCAAATATTAAATTAGTTTGATAGTGTAGGGAGAGGGATATTTGCAATGCTTCATGGGAGTGGGTGGGCACTAAAGTTTTTTTTTTGGTGCAATTTGCTAGTTTCAAATTTCTTTGAGGAATCATGGGAACTTTGTAATAAAAAAGGTGAACATCTAGAGTCAGATCAGAAGAAAACCCACCTGTCTTCTTCTTTTTGCCCAGCATGGAGTACGATGGGGTACCGTCTCTGCCAAAGCGTGTCATTTTGGCATCTACATGATACTGTGGTCCTGGACTGGAATCCACAGACACCACTATTCAAAAGCAACATTATGAGAAAACACATCAGAATTTATTGAATTACCGTACATTTAGCAGACACTTGTATGCAAAGCAACATCACTCTCGGACAAAAACTGGTAGAAAAGCTGTCACTGGGATGGAACCCTTTAAAAGGTACTAATATGTACCATTTAGGTACTAATTTTATTTATTTATTTATTTATTTAGTAATTTAGCAGACGCTTTTATCCAAAGCGACTTACAAATGAGGACAATAAAAGCAGTCAAAACTAACAAAAGAGCAACAATATATAAGTGCAAATGACAAGTCTCGGTTAGCCTAAGGCAGTACACGTAGCAAGGTGTATATATATATATATATATATATGTATGT